ATTCCTTCTTAGCTTGAAGGGCACCTTTTACCATAGGAAGAAGTTGTCCCATAAGAAAGAGACTGGACTGGGCTGGGCATGGTGGCTCATGCCTGTAATCCCAGCACTTTGGGAGGCCAAGGTGGGAAGTTCAAGACCAGCCCGGCCAATATGGTGAAACCTCATCTCTACTAAAAATATAAAAATTAGCTGGGTGTGGTGGTGTGCTCCTGTAATCCCAGCTACTTAGGAGGCTAAGGCAGGAGAATTGCTTGAACCTGGGAAGCGGAGGTTGTGGTGAGCCGAGATTGCACCTCTGTATTGTGTGTGTGAGTGCCTTTATTCATCCGTCGTGCAGCTGGCAGGTTATCACAGGAGACCTTGCTGTGTTGAGCTGTTTTCACTTCCAAGGCCTCCATCCTAGATAGAGAGCAGGGAGGAGTCTTCTCTAAACCACATGTGCTCTGTGTCCTGCTATGGAAACATAGTGGATGTTGGTGGGACGCCTGCTGGATCTAGCCAGGATTAGGTGTGCCGTGGACATCAGTGGACACCTGGAGAAGGTGGGGTGGGAGTGGGAGGCAATCCTCACACCAAACAAGGGCAAGGGAAGGTCAGGGTGACCTCAAGACCCGGGTGGGCAGCAAGGTCATCTTGAGCCACAGCAAAGTCAGGTGCAACCTGTGTTCCTTCCAGGGTTCATCATTCGCTGTCCATGTGACCTCAGGCGTGTTGGTTACCCTCGCTGACCTCAGTTTTCTTATCTGTGAAATGACACTTATCCCTCCAGGATGATTGAGAAGAAAAAAATCAGAAGCTGACAATCACAGGTTTATGGGTTTTGGCTTTGGTTTTGAAATGGAGTCTCACTCTGTCACCCAGGCTGGAGTGCCGCGGTACGATCTTGGCTCACTCAACCTCCACCTCCTGGGTTCGAGTGATTCTCCTGCCTCAGCCTCCTGAGTACCTGGGATTACAGGTGCCCACCACCACGCCTAGCTAATTTTTGTATTTTTAGTAGAGATGGGGTTTCACCATGTTAGCCAGGCTGGTCTTGAACTCCTGACCTCGAGTGATCCACCCACCCTAACATCCCAAAGTGCTGGGATTACACGGATGAGCTACCACGCCTGGCCAACAATAACTGATTAGGGATATTTAATCTCTAACAGTCTTAAAAACCATATAAGGAAATAGCAATACTAGGATCCCCATTTTTAAAATTTACTGTTTTATGTACATGCAAAGATCATTTTCATTACAGAAATGAAGAAACTGCAACATATTGAAATTAGTCATTCAGAAGTATGAGCATAATAATAACAGTAGTTTACATGAGGTGACTGAGATGGTTGGCATGGTTCTGAGCAACTTTTATTTATCTGTTTTAATTTTTTTTTACTCGTTTGTAGAGGTGGGGTCTCACTATGTTGCCCAGACTGGTCTCGAACTCCGCCTGCCTCAGCCTCCCAAAGTGCTGGGATTACAGGCATGAGCCACCAAGCCCGGCCTCTATGCCAATTTTATCTCAACTTCATGAGGTGGATCTATTATGAACATCCCCACTTGACAGATTAGAAACTGAGGCACAGGGTTAAGTAACTTGCCATAGATCTGATTCCCACTTCATAGATGGAGAAATGGAAGCAGAGAGGGATTAAGGAATTTTCCAGAGATCACCCTCAGTGCCTGCCTCCTAGGAAGGGCTTGAGATATAATGCTGAGGGCTTTCACAAAGAGATGCCTTACTGGGTATTTTTATTCTTTGCAGAGTTTGTGAAGATGATGTCTCGCTGAGGAGGTGCTGGAAGCCCCAGGCCCTCTCCACCTGGTCAACATAGGGCAAGAGCTTGTGGAGAACCAAAGCCCCAAAGCCCCCTAAAGCAGAGAGAGAGGGCAGTGGGGAGGGAGGGGATTGGCGTGCAGCGGTATCCAGGAGGTGAGGCCGAGAGCGGTAGCTTTGCCAGGATGGAGGCATCTGCAGAGCTGAATTAGGAAGAAAGAGTCTACGGAAGGAAGTGGGAAGGGTGGGAGGGTCCAGCTGCCACTCCAAACATTCCAGTGATCCCTGACACCGTTCCACTTCACGTCCCTGTGACCTGCCAGAGTCTCTTCCCCAGCTTCCCCTTGGCTTAGGCTTTTCCCCTGCTGGATAGCAAAAGGTTCGGCACGTAGTCTCTGCTCTTCCCCTGCCTGCTTCAACTGTTGCAAAGCCCCTGTTTCTCTCTCCTGGTAAGAGGGAGACAAATTATACATTATTCAGGTGATGGTTACGCTAACAGTCCAGACTTCACCGTGTAACAAAACTGCACTTGTACTCCCTAAATCTGTAAAAATAAAAAATAAAAAGGAGGTCAGATGAGTAGAGTGCAAAAATTTTTTCCCATTCTGTTGGTTGCCAGTTCACTCTAATGAGTGTATCTTTTGCTGCGCAGAAACTCTTAAGTTTAATTAGATCCCATTTGTCTAGTTTGGCTTTTGTTACCATTGCTTTTGGTGTTTCAGTCATGAAGACCTTGCCTCTGCCACATGCCCGTGGCAGACTGGACCAAGAAAATGTGGCACATATACACCATGGAATACTATGCAGCCATCAAAAACGATGGGTTTGTGTCCTTTGTTGGGACATGGATGAACCTGGAAATCATCATTCTCAGCAAACTGACACAAGAACGGAAAACCAAACACTGCATGTTCTCACTCATAGGTGGGTATTGAACAATGAGAACACGTGGGCACAGCAAGGGGAACATCACACACTGGGGTATGTTGGGGGCTGGGGGGCTAGAGAAGGGGTGGGGGGTGGGGAGGTTGGGGAGGGATAACATTGGGAGAAATGCCTGATGTAGGCGACGGGGGGACAGAGACTGCAAACCACCATGGCATGTGTGTACCTATGCAACCACCCTATGGATGTGCACAGGTACCCCAGAGCTCAAAGTACAATTTAAAAAATAAAAGAAGTTATGGGAGGCATTGTGAAACTAAAGCTATGAGGCAGAGAAGACAATAAAATTATATTTGTTTTTAATACAGAAAAGGAGGTGAATCAATCACAGAGCTGAAATAGAGTTGTTGTTGAGGCTGGGCTTGGCAATGGCTGGTCCAAGTGGCATTCAAAGTCACCTCCTCCCTTTTCCTGATTTCCTGGAAGCACTGTCTGGAGTCAGTCTCTCTCTCTCTCTCTCTCTCTCTCTCTCTCTCTCTCTCTCCTCTCTCTGTCTCTCACCTCCCACATCCCTTTCCTTGTGTAAGATACTCAGGAGACTGAATTAAACCACAAATCTGGATTATCAAGGTTTAGAGCAGGCTGATCCCTGGGGAATTAATCCCCCCAAAAAATGTCATCATGCAAAGAGAGAGATGACAGGATCCCCCAAATCCCCAATTCAGCCAGGTCGTTGCGAAGCCTTTCCTAGAAGCCTGCTGCCTCTGCGCTGGTCTGTCCTGGGCCACCCAGAGATGGTGTCTCTAAGATGGGAAGTCTGTTCCATCCCTCGAGTCCTGACATCAGTCTGTGCTATGAAACAGAAAAGACAGATTCCTCCAGACCTTCACAAGACACTCCAGCAATGCAAAGGTTAAAATAAAAATTCAAAGAATTAACTTCATGCCTTCCTCCAAGTTTTTCTTGCTTTGAAGTCTATGAATTAGATGTATAAGATGAGTCATCTGGTTCAACTGGTTCAATAGCTTTGTTTTGCTTTATATACGTATTTACGTGCGTATGTATTTTTGAGACAGTTCCATTCTGTTGCCCAGGATGGAGTGCAGTGGTGCCATCTCAGCTCACATAACCTCCACCTTCTAGGTTCAAGCGATTCTCATCCGTCAGCCTCCCGAGTAGCTGGGATTACAGGCGTGTGCTACCACACCTGGCTAATTGTTTTTTTTTTTTTTTTTTTTAGTAAAGACAGGATTTCACCATGTTGGCCAGGCTGTCTTGAACTGACCTCATGATGTGATCTGCTGCCTCAGCCTCCCAAAGTGCTGGGATTACAGATGTGAGCCACTGTACCCAGCGTATTTATGTATTTACTGTTGAGACAGGGTCTCCCTCTATCACCCAGACTGGAGTAGAGTGGTGTGATCTCAGCTCACTGCAACCTCCACCTCCTGGATTCAAGTGATTCTCCTGCCTCAGTCTCCCGAGTAGCTGGGATTACAGGCATCCACCACCACACCCAGCTAATTTTTTTTTTTTTTTTTAGCAGAGACTGGGTTTCACCATGTTGGCCAGGCTGTCTTGAACTGACCTCATGACGTGATCTGCTGCCTCAGCCTCCCAAAATGCTGGGATTACAGATGTGAGCCACTGCACCCAGCGTATTTATGTATTTACTGTTGAGACAGGGTCTCCCTCTGTTGCCCCGGCTGGAGTGCAGTGGTACAGTCTTGCCTCACTGCAGCCTCCACCTCCCAGGCTCACACCATACACTCCTCAGCCTCCTGAGTAGCTGAGACCATAGGTACATGCCACCATGCCCAGCTAATTTTTGGTGTTTGTCTTATTTTTTGGCAAAGACAAGTTTTCCCCATGTTGCCCAGGCTGGGTGCAAACTCTTGGGCTCAAGCTATCCACCCGCTTCAGCCCCGCAAAGTGCTGAGATTACCGGTGTGAGCCACCGCACCCAGCCAATAGCTTTGCCTTATAAAATTAAAATTAAGAAGAAGTGGACCCCTTTGGCAGGCTGAAGAGGGAGGGGCACTTGAGGCCAGGAGTTCACAAACAGCCTGGCAATGTAGTGAGACCCTGTCTCTAGAAAAAAGAAAAATTACTTTACTCAGGCATATTATTTATTAATAATGTAACAAGTACCTTAATGTAATAAGTACCTACAAATGCCCCGCCCAAATCTGTGATCTCCCCCAAAAGAGACAGCAGGCTCTAATGACTCCTGGAGA